GACTCTTCATTTTCAGGTAGATAATACTTCCATTTGCTTTTGTCTAGTCCACATCCCCAAATGTTCAGTTGCTGTGAACTGACATACTGAGATCCATCTGATCTACCTATCCCTCAATTTATTTTGAAGTCCACTGTTACTTTGGTCTTCTTAAGCTGGCATTAGTATTTTATTTCACGTAGACAATGACTTTCTGAGATAGGGCAGAAAAATTGTTTAAAGTGACTATGTTAGATTTTACTTTAAAAACAGCCTTTGATATTGCTAACATTTCAAAATAAATATCGGAAAAGTAACTCCAAGAACGCAGGACTATCAGTATTCAGCCTTACACAACTGAAGACACATTTGCGTTCCTTCACTATAATTTTTTCTTTGTAATAAAATTACACAGTCGTCTTAACTTCCAAGATTATTAACACCATATGCGTCCATCGTAAAATTAATCTGACTCAAAAGAGTTTGTAAATTGATCAAATTTGGATAAAAAACTATTTGCTCAGATTCTGCTTATCATACATGAAGAGATTTCAGTTCTTTTCTCCTTTAACATTTTTGATACAGTCAGGCTGTGATGTATAAGAATCTTTACACTTGACACACCTTTGATAAGACAGTTTCGTCAACTGTACTTCCAGTAGATGAATATTACTCAGCTGAAAAAAACACTGTGAAAATAAACCCAGAGTGAGAAGAACAAGTAACTGATTTAGCTGTAGCTGAATGACGGAGGTTTCACTTTTACTTGCTTCCTGCGAGTCAAATGTTCCAGTGAAACTTCTTAAGAGGAAGAGTTTTATTCCTGTATGGTGACTGGGCTAGTAATACAGGCCCACTGTTTGCAACATTAATGCTCCTTTTCGAAATGAGAGACAGCAGACCACTGTGGAATGATTAGGTTTGCCTACAAAGCTGGCACCAAAGGAGAAATAGATTTGCAGCCTCATACAGAGCACAAGTTATATTGTGAATCTTTAAACCAAGATAATAATTTTACATACAATCTGGAAACACCAGCTGTTAGTTTCCAGTTCTAGTTACTATCATGCAATACTATTTCACAGTGTATCCCTTGTCTCTTAACTAACTTTGCCAGTACAACTATACTTTTTGAGCTCAAACTTTGCAAATAGCAAGTTTACCACATTCTCTAACTCTTCCAAATGGCCCCAGCAACCTGCAGAAAAGACTGATGCAGAAACTAAGGGATGCAGAATCCAGAACAAAGTGCAGAGCAAGGGAGTACTGGAACATCTTCCTCACTTGCCTTCACAAAGGTGTCTCTCTGCCAGGAACTCAGAGCATTTTTTTAATATTTAAAATAACAGTAGTAATAAATACATAAACAAGTAGAACAAATATAAAGAAAAAAAGTAAGGTAAGACAAAAGCACGTTGAATAGTGCATAAAGAGGAACAAGCAAAAATTACGTCCTGTAAAAGAAGATGAGATTTGAAGATAAAGTCCAAGTAGCGAGTAGAGTATCATGTTTTTATTGAACTGTGTATTAATCTGTATTAAACTGGGTACTTCTACGGAAAGTATGAAACTCCACAGGACTCTGAATCCCATGGTGCATTAATTGTTTGCCTGTGCAACTGCAGCGACTTACAGTTACCCTCATTCCTCCTCTCATCCCTGATGGTTACAGCTACCTGCTCATGAGTAGTAACTAGAACAATGAAATGGAGAGCCCCAGTCTCAACAGGTGCTCACGTATACAAACAGCAATCAGAAAAGACACAGCAGAGATCCCCAGAACACCAGCTGGATGACTCAGGCTGCTCCCTAGGTTCACTTGTAGGCAGTGTGATTTTTGATGGCTCCAACTTTCTGCTTGGATCTGCGTACTACAATATGAGAAAAAGCGACAGGGATGTGATAAACTATCTCCAAATTAATTCCAACACGGATCAAGCCCAAGAAATTCAAGCCCGAACTCTCTCCTGCTATGTTCCTGCCTATTATTGACACTTCAAAGTGGAACTTCAGCAACTCTGAGAACAAAGCAGCATAAGCCAAAGTATTTATATATGCCCAACAGGAAAGTTTCTAGAAATAAAGATTTTGAGGCACCCAGGCCAGACAACTAATAAACAAAATTGGTCACCGTGATACCCAACCACAGTAAGACATTCTGTAGGCAAGATATTTCAAAACTCAGAAATAAATGAAGATATTACTATAGATAGCATTAGAAAGATTCAGTAGGAAAATGCTATTCTACAGCCTAAGTTTTTGGTGTTGACAATGTACAAGATAAACTCAAGCAAGTCTTGTTCTTAAGGTAGCATCTCTATGGCTGTCCCACTTACGCTGAATATCCTCCTTACAGATAAATGCTTTGTGGTCATCCGTATGCTGTCTGCATTCCTTTCTTTAGAAATGGTGGAGAGAACATCATTAAGATCACAGAATATCATCCTTTTTCTCTATCATTCATAACTAAGCGAGGAATTAAAGATAAAGTATATATATCTACCTTAAATAGGACAGATACTTACACTGCACAAAAATTCTCATCCTCTGCCAACCTAGATCATTCACGTGCTTCAGAACTGTGGATATAGTAAGCGTGGAATGGCTCACACACAGGAAATAATTTACACATTAAGTTAAACACAACTATAAATAAATTTCCAGATGCTAATGAAAACAGATTTTAAGTTAAGGTCAATCATATAACACACACAATGAGAAAAATGCAAAACAAAAACATCACTCACAGAGTCTTCTCCACAAGAACTGAGACGAAAAATCGTATCACAGAAGTTTATGACAATACTTAATCGTGTACTGAAGACCTTCTTCAGCAGAAGATAAAAACTGTAATAAATGTGGTATAAGAAATTATAAGGAATAGAAGAAAAAAAAGGCTTCTGTTTTGCATTGCAGTAAATAATTTACATGGAAAACATTAAAATAATCTCACCAAGCACCTTCTGTAAACAAACAGAATCACCTTTCCAAAAGGTGTATTTTTACACACATCCCAAAAGACAGATTTTTCTGGCTTTAGAATCATACTCTCAGTTTTATTTCCACATTGACTCTAACATACTCCACAACTTTAACTTCATGACACTCAGATAACTCTATGACACTTTTTTTTTTAAACAGATGGTAAGACAACTTCCAAGGCTAAGCCAAACTAACTTCATTTGTTCAAGCACTTACAGTAGTTTACTTTTTTGCTAAGTAATGCATATGTAAAAATACACATTTTAAAGAAATACACACAGTGACAAGGTAATACTTAGATTCTACAGTTTATTGAATCATACAGATACAAACTAATAAAAGGACAGGTGATCACTTTCTAAACAGCGGTGGTAGCTAAAGTCATTGTTCCCTCAGTTGCTTTTATGTCTTTCCTACCAAAAATTTCCAGCTCCTACCTCTGTCAACAGAACAGCTCATGCTGTATGCTCACTGACCTAGTTTAGAAAAAATCAACTGAGTCAGCTTACATAGTCTGAACTAGTCCAGCTGATTTGGTCCAAAGCAGATAAAGGAGCACTGACATCAAATGACAGAGCTGTGGGTACAGTGGCATCTGGCAAACAAACAGATGAGCAGGTAGAGATGATGAAATCATTCCAGCAAGTTTGGAAACGAAAAAGCATGTTCTGGACTTAGCTTGGGCATCTAAAACATACCAGGTACACATTTGTTTGTTTAAAAAACAAGCAAACCCCAAAGTACTTCTGATACGGTTAAACAACGAAACAGATGCTTCTATAGTAGCCACTTCTTTTAAAGATTTTGCGATTAAAAAGCAGTTTATATTTCATACAGGGTTTGACATTGTTTGTATAACTTGTAAGAAATATGCTGTCATCATAAATTATTTGCCTGATAAATATTTAATTATAATAAAATGTCTACACTTAAGCAATTTGGTATGAACAGAAAAAAACTAAACAGAGTATTTTAAATATTTGCATTTTACAACTTCCTCCTTTCACATATGTACTCATAAAATATCGTTTATTCAGAAATACAAAATAATTTTAAAGGGAAAGATAGGTAAACAATAAGACGCTTCAGCATCTTACATATTTGCACATCATTCATACTATTATTGCACCATGAGACCTTTTATTTAAAGTAAATTTAGTGCTACTGACTGGTAACAATTTCACAATTGCAAAGAAAATTGAAGTTCTCAGTCTCTTTGGAAAAGCCAAAGATCAAACAGCATTTGTCTGACTAACCTGGAGAAATCCTTCTCTTATCAACAGGTTTATTAACATTTTTTAAATCAGTGAAGTCATCCTGTATCTCATCACAATGAGTCCTTCAGGGCTGGTCCATCAACTCTTACTGAAGTCATTTTCAGTGACAACAATGAAAGCCTGACTGTGCTCTAAATTCTTGCTCTTAGCTAATCAATTTTTGTAACCACTGAGAAGACAGACGTTTGTAAGCTAAAATCAAGGAACTCATCTCTTCTTTGTTATCACACAGCTAATACCACAATTAAATTTGGTGTTGAATTGTCCAAGGAAGTGTTAGCCTGAGCTACTATGGCTACCACAATGGCCAATACAACCAACAGAAGAGACAGCAGGTCAGGTGTGGGAAGAGGGCCTTCAGTGTGGCACTCTAGCTAATGATTCCTGCTTTCTAGGGAGCTTGCCCTACAGGCTTGCTCAATGGCAGCTCTAATCTCCCTGTTCTGTTTGTTGAACAGCAGAGAAAATTCATGAGCCTGCTCGTGACTCTAACAAAGTTCCACATGCTCAATATAAACGAAGTTGAAGTGCTAGCACATTTTGATTCTCGGAAACAACTGGGGAAAAAAGTATTATTCTCAAAAAAAAAAAAGAATTACCTGTTGTACCTCTTCTTCTACCTCAAACATCACGTTCTTTTTACACAGGCATGCAATGGCTCCAAAGTGACAGGCACCTGAATCCAGCCTACCACCAATGCTAAATTCATTTGCAGTCATAAAACACTATGAAATACTTCATATAGAGTATGTTGCTACACAGTCATTTAAAAAACATTTCAATTGTGTGCTTGGAATTGCTCGACTTGGCCTTTTTTGGTACTGACTGTGAAGTTGTTAGTCCAGACCTAAAGTTAAAGAAAAAAAAAAAAAAACAGTGAGAGGTTAAAATATACAACGCATACCTACACAACTTTTACAACACTGAATTATTTTTCTAAACTTTATTATTTTAAAATGAGTTGTGTACTCAGGTTTCCAGAAAACCCTTACCTTTTTGTTCCTTGTGATGGATTTGTGCATTGCTGTCCTCTGCTTAAACCTCCTGAAAAGTAATTGGAAACAACCAAAATTAATTACTTCAATAAAGCAAGAATGCTTCAGAAATTACATACATAGCAGAACTTTTAAAAGAACAGTTTTGGGTAAAGCTTTTCTTTCCTTTTTTTTTTTAACATAACCGAATTTAATCTGTCTCAAGGAGCAGATAACATTTTATTACCTGCAGTTTGAGTACTGCAGTTTATATTAACATTTTTAAAAGAGAAAAACAAAAAGCCTTTAGTTTATTGAATTTTAAGGGATTAATTTGAACCTTGTAGTTTTCAGAAATATTTCAGCATAACATAGTTGATTTTCAAGGTGGTTATTGACAACTATATTTCTGATTTTTTTATCCTGCAGGGGGAAAAAGAAATCTTTGCCAACAGTAAGTTTTTCATTTAAAACAAAGCCTATTTGCACATGTAACAACAAAACTGCGTATAAAATTTTCTGTGTGAAGGATTCATATTGTAAGTCTCAACTGTGTTCTGATAATTCTAACACTCTAGCACTTTAATTTCCTCTCATAAAGCTCCCAAGTTAGATTAGGGACAAGGTACTTTAAGCAGATACTTAACTACCTGCACATGTCCTCTAATCTGTCTGAAGATTAACTCTTCATCAAAAAGAGAAACTACTTGAGTAAATATTCTACTGGTTTTGCATGTTACAGGTGCAGTTACGTGATATATTTTATTAGATGTAAAACAGGCTTGCAAGTTCCTGCCTTTATGCTTTAGTTCACCACCTCTCTGTTTTTGCCATTACAAAATGGCACATTACATAATGGAACTTTTCTGTCAACTGAGTCTCTGAAACAATCCAGGCTGAAGATGTTTTCATTGATTTTCACTTAAATCTCAGTGGCCTTACAAACACCTTTCTGAACATGGTCGGGGGGTAGCAAACGTGCAATTTACAGAAATGAGCAGTAATTCCTATGTCACTATTGTGGCAAATGAGAATGCACTGTGTAACTACCATCATATTCATAAATCTAGTTTGTCATGAAAACTGATTTGATATTTTTTAAATAAAAATGTTCACTCTTACACAGGCCTTACTCAAATGAACTTGTTGCAAAAATGTCAAAGCCCTGAAAAGTTCAAAGTATACCATTACCAAATTATTTTAATTGTACAGGCAGATAATTTGAATAATGAAATATATCCTAATGCGCATACTCACCAACTCTGTTTGAGTTTTCCATATTATAAGTCTTAGTAGGAAAATCTTTTTTTTCTGTCAGCTCCTGGATAAGGCCTTTATTTAAGCAGACATCCACATGTCTGTTAAATGACACAAGACTGGTGGTTTTCTGTTCTGAATTACAAATTGGACAAACAAGAACACTGTCTTCTTTGGCTTCAAAGAAACAGGACGAACTAGTTTCTTCTGTGTATTCAGTCTTTTCAAAACAGTCTTCATTGTCTTGTGAAATTCTTTTGGGGAAGAGACACTGTTTCATACACACGTTTCTAGCAATATCACTGAGATCGCTAGGCTGTCTTTCTGCGTGAGATTTATCAGATATTATCTGAGTGAATTTTTCTGTACTATTGCTAGTAGAGTTGTCAGATGTACTTGCAGACTGGTCTGTTCCTGCTAATTGATCTGTTTTATTTTTTTGACATTCATCAACATTTTCATTTTTAAATTGTGGAAGACACTTAAGTGTATTTTCTCTTGAATTGTCATTCTTGGATATTTCCACGGTATCTTTAACAAGAGTCCCATTGAGGCACTCATCAATATGCCTATTAAAGTCTTCCAAATTATTGCTGCTTTGCTCCTCAAAGCAAACAGGGCAGGTGAAGATCCTACACACGTTAGAATTCTGTAAGTCTGTGACTTTCTTTGTTTCTTCCACAAAATTTGCTGATTTCTTATCATGAAAAAGCTGCTTACCTACACTTCCATTTGGAGAAAGATTCTCACTGTTCAGTTGCCTTGCAGCTCGCTTTTTATCAAAAAAACTCCCTCTGGGAGATGCTTCTGAATTTTTTGTGAAATATTCTTGGTTGGACTTCCCTGGCTGAAGCCTAAGAAAACCAGTTTCTTTTCCTGATTTTAAGAAACTCATAATGCTTTTTTGTTGGTACTTCTTCTCTTCTTCACTTAGAAATCCTGATACTCGTACACCTAATGATGAAAAACAAACTTCTAATACCAATTTTATGAAAACTTGATACTAATTCTTAATTAACACCTTTTGAGGCACTCATAAAAATGCATTTTATCTCTAAACGGAGGCTATACTACCTGCAAATGCTAACAATGTATCACAATGTCCATACAACTTTATCAGACCCGAACACTTGCCCAATCATATTATTAATTTCAATACCCATGAAATTTTAACCGATTGCACCATAACATGAGGCTATAAACTTAATACAGTTATATAGAATTCAGTCTGAAAGAGAGTTTTGCATGAAGTTTCCCCACCAAAGTATTTTTTTCTTCAGCGCACTCTGATACATAGACAAGTAATTTTTACATATGACTGAATGGTTCAAGCAGAATGTACAAGCACCTGAAACACATAGGTCTTAGAATCAAAACACATTTGACAGAAATTTTCAAATTTCTTGCAGAATATAGCATCTTCTATTTATAAGCACTTTTATTTAAAGCATCTGTTTCTAAAACAGGTTATGGACAGAAACTACCTGTTGCTGTGGTGCAAAGCAGATTTAAAAGTTCTTTTAATGCAGCAGAATTAAGCACTGCTATGCGTTAAAATTCTACTCTCATGCCAATGTGTATGTTGTACCAGGGCTAACAGGTGGTAGGAACAGTACAACCTCAATTAGTAAAATGTTCCTGAGACACCAGTCAGCACTCCAGACCTGTTTCACTTCACAAAAACTGCCAGGGTAACGAAGAAAGGATAAATCCATTTATACCGATTCTACTTTAAAGTACAATCTTATTACTTTGATACACTAAAAGATCTAACTCTGAAAAGGAGGAATGAGTTTGAAATATTTTACCCATAAGTCTTATCCGTAAAGGGTGAGGAGCAACACTATCAATTTCTGTTCCTAATAAGTCTTTAGCAACAGCAAATATTTCCTCCTCAGTAGAAACAGAAGACAGCACAGTTGAAGCTCTTGTTTTTACTTCAAAGTTGACATGCTTTAGCTTCAAAGTAACAGTTTTACCCTAGGCAAAAAAAAAAAAAGAAAGAAAAAAGAAAAAAAAAGAAAAAAGGAAAAAAAGAAAAAATAAAAAGGTTAAGCATGTCATATATGGCATAGAAACAATTATTATGTAGCATCTATATAAGGGCCCTAAAGCCATAGTCAAGACTGTGTGCTTATCTGTGTACAGCAAGGGGCGCTGCCAAGAATTTGTCTGCAAGATTCTGCACTTGCTCCTAAACTGCTGCCAAAGTCGAATTCTCTGAACTGGGTCATTGGCTATGGTTCCCCGCAGACCATCTGCCACCAGTGCATGTTCATTAGATTTCATGCTCTGGCTACAGTCACAACTTCTACCCTGTCTACAAAAACTTATTTCCTCACTTGGAAACTTTCAGTGCCAGATATCTTAACTCTGCTGGGAAAACTACTAAGGACGCGTAAGTCATATCCAATTAAGGATTCGCTGAAAACTTCCTTCCTCGTGCATAGTGCTATCAGAGCCACACACAGCATCTGTGTTTGGCACAGATATTCCCCTGGCAACACCTTCCAAACCATTCGTGTTATTTAGCGTGTCCATCCAAATGTAAATAAATGGCACCCCTTTTGTTCTGGTGCCTTTGTAAGCTTATCCCTTTGTCCTTCTTAGCTGATGATTGCCCTTTCAACCTGTCATCTTTTTAGACAATCTTTTATGGCTGAAGAAAACTAATCACAATTCTTTTAGGCCTTGAATGTTATTCCTTGCTTTACCATAAAGACCTCCATAGAAAATATGAACTGTTCTTTCCAGATAGTAAGTAGAAATCTGGGGAGAAGGAATACAGGGACTGTTCCTACCATTCATACCATTGAATGGTATAAATAACTTGTCAGCAAGTTTGGGACATGTGAACTTCTTAAACTACACTACTGGCTATTGACTGGATCCTGTATGAATATGGGAGAGAAACAGTGTTTTATACATTAGTATTACATGATTGACCAAAGCACAGCTCATAGACAATTAGCTCTATTATTCGTTTATAAACATTGCTTTTAGCATAAAATGTTTATATGCTAAATAACTTGGTTAATTAATTTAATTTTTTCCAGGCATGTTATTAGATAGCCACCTGAACAATATCAAAATGCTGCCTAAATCATTCTAAACATCTGCAAATTAAAGAATAGAAATTTCTGAAGATAGATTGCATGGTATGATGCTGCTGAAAGCATTCACACTAACACATCTAATAAATTTGAGTGTGAAGTGTTGTCTTTTTGCAAGTAAACAAAGAATAATATAAATACCTTAAGTCCCTCTTTCTGCAGCTCTTGAGCAAGGTCTCTGCAGAGTTCTCGACACAAGCTGTACTGGTCTTCTGCTGTGTTTATTTCACTGAATGTTCTAAGAAAAAGATATGATCTTTTTTTCAGTATGAATCCTAAAATTTGTTCAGTGGCTGCCGTCTAAAAGTATTTTTTGTACAGTTAAACAAAATTACATCAGAAGGAGGCTTGTATAGGTTTGAGTGTTTATTCAGGGAAAAATGAGTATTAATACAAATATTATACAGAAAGATTTGTGCACATTTATGTGTTTCAAACATTTATGTGTTTCAAAATGTTTGCGAAGCCCTTCAAATAATGAAATAATTTGGCTTTCAATTTTTCACACGCTATTTGAAAACGTATTGGATTTAAGGTCATTAATGCTTCAATATTTGCAAGAGAGAATACTAACACCAACTGAATTCATGGAGCCAGCCAAGTTATTTGTATTTAATCTCCTTTGTGCCACGCTATGTAACATCAGAAGAAAGAAAGGATTAGAAAGTCAACATCAGAGCCAAGTATCAGAAATAAATAATGCAGATGCTAAGAAAAAGATGCCAGTTAGGATAATTATGTCTAGCATCAGAGGAGGAAAAACTACCTTTCTGCCAAAAACGTTGCTAACTGCCTTTGCTAGACCTTCTTAGCAGGGTAATTACACTATTTTTTTTTGTTGTGCATCTGCTTTTTAGTAATAACATGAGAGCAAAGGCAACCTTCGGTTAGTAGTGGTTGTAAGAGAATCAGGAAGCAAAACTTACAGCTGCCAGATGCTTTTGGAAAGGTCTCACAGATCCATTGTTTCATGCCAGGCTTTATAGTTACGAGTTTAAAGTCCCTATATAGTTACACTGGATTTCAAATCTCTAAGTTCTACTCAGGTTTACCTGACATTTTGAAAAGTCATCCTCTATGATAATTCACATTCCCCTAAGAATGTTTGCATGCTGCCAAACTAACAGGATGAATACTTTACTGTGGGTCCCATGCTATTGTCCAAGGAGTAACTCATGTTACCCTGGCAATGCTGCAATGATTTACAGCATTGCAATGCTGCAGTAATTGGGAAGCTGTGAAAGTCCTAAGTTTGGAAGGGGCAGGATAGAGAGAATGCTATTTTGGGCCCATCTCTTCCCCCCATATAAACCAGTTTCATGATCTCAGCAGCCTATTGACATCTCTGGTCTAAAACTGTTTCTCTTAGGGAAAAAAGAAGGAAGAAAGAAAAGCAGAAAGGTACAATAGGCTACTCAGATTATCTCTCTGCCTGCAAACTAGCACAAGACTACAGCCATAAATTTCTCAGCTCTGGGCTTACTTACGGGGCTTATTTAAACTGCCCACAACTATTAAGTCTCAACAGGAATAAGAATCTTTTCTTATTTTCTTTTCTAAGAAGAGACAACACATGAGGGTAGGCATAATTATTACCATGCTCTACAGATCTTCCTTGCAGTATTTTCTTTTTAAAAATGAACTTTTGGAAATGACACACACCACCTTCTTCAGGAACTTTACATGGTAAAAACTTAAAAGTTAGGAAATGTAACCAATTTTAGTTAACCATCAAAACTATTGTCTGTTTTGCAAGTCCACCTTATCCTATACTATGTGTGTGACTGCAGGCTGCTAGACTGATACTGACATTAAACTGGAACATATAAAAAAATTCAAGCTCTTAGATATTTCCACCCTATATTATGGCTTAAAGACCACTTTGATGCATTAAAGGCATTAGGAGAATCAGATGATGAGAAAGGAGAACACACAAACCAACAGAAGTACCTCCACAGTATTCTGAAGCCAAGGGAAAAAAAAATAATGAAAGCTTGAATGATTGAGCGAGCTTGTTGTATATGCGTTTTTTTAACGCATATAAATACACAATGAAATTATATGACTAAGTATACACTACTTTGCATTAAGTAGATTTAGTGATTAATGTAGTTTTTTTCAATATTAAAGAGGCATACCTTTCAGTGCTCATACTTTTTCTTTCTCCATCCCTTTAAAAAGAAGAACAATTTATTATACTCACTTTACCTAGAATTGTTCTCTTTTCAATAAACTCCGAGTCAACCAGTCATGCTTCAATAACTAACAGCAGTCTTTTCCATAAAATCTGGATGTTAACTTTTTCTACAAATCTTTTACATGAAATTTAAGCGAGTGTGAAATGGAGAATTTTTTTTTTAGAAAAACTTAAACTACTGTAGATAAAGACACAGATCAGCCACAGACGTCAATAAAAATAAAGTTTGTAAAAAAAAAAAAAAAACAACAAAACTCCCCTCTCATATCAGAAGGAGTCTTATTTAAAAACAAAACTAACTACAAATCCTATGCTGTCCCACCTAGCTATAACTGTGAAGCACTGCTATTAAAATCCTGAACATACTATGTATATTTGAAGATTTGTTTATCTGAGGAATTAGTTTGCTTTCTGTCTAAATTATTGCCCATGTTAAAGGTGATGTGTTAAGGCTTTTTTTTATTTGTTTGTTTTTTTCTTTCCGCTTTTAATTGAGCATCCTTTAACAACTCTTCTGCATATAAGGAGTTCCTCAGAGCATTTTCTTTTTAGGTTCTTCTTCTGTTTGTAAAAATTGGAAATAACAGATTTGGTATCCTCAGATTTTCCTAAAAGAAGGTGGTCAAAGACAATGACCATAAGATGAACCAACTACTGAGGACTCGGGTGTCAAGGGCTTGTTTTCTCCACACTGAAATTAAGTTGGTGCTAATAAAAACAAAACCAAGAAATAAATTTCTTAGACAACACCATTAAAAATGTGTTCCCCTTCACAATGATAATCCTGGCTTTTGAAATGCTCTTTTTTTTTTTTTTTTTTTTTTTTTAAAAAAAAATGTACTGGCAGATTTCCCAGACTGTGTAACACCTAAAAGGGTGAATAAGGGGAGAGAGTGCACCAATTATTAAAGGACCATTTGAGGTTGCATTATCTTAACAGAAATAAATATTTGGAAAACCGCATTTTATCTTTTACCAAGTCACCTTCACAAAGTCAATCTTACTGCATATTTTGTTTCAAGTCAACATACTTCTGAAAAGAAAAAAAAAAAAAACCAACACAAAGATTTCTGCTACCACATTACCGGTCTACGAACTGCTAACTGCATATATTATTTTGTAGTCAAATGGAAAAAATGGAAGATCTATTACTGTCAGAGATGGAACAGAAATAATACAGAATAGGTCTTTCAGAAGTACATAAGACATTTTGGAACTCCTAATGAAAACAAATCATTGCCATGCCATTTTTAAATAGAATTTCAGCACTTTGGGAAGGATAGAAGGATATTTAAAGAAGGAATATGTAAAAGAAAGGACTCAATCCTAAATTAAGACTCTTGGTTACACAAAGAGTCTATGTGATTTTTTTTTTTTTTTTTCTTTTTTAAGAAAAACAGTTCCATGTTTGTTATCTAGGCTTAGAAATGACGCATATAATTGAAAAGATGTATTCACTAGTAAGACTGATTTCTCCCCTCCCAAACAGGACGCTAAAAAGCCATTAAAGTAGTATGAACCTTAAAGGAACAGATATGAAGAAGGGTATAAAAATCTTCAGTTCTCTTCCAGCAAATTCACAAGTTGGTATTACAAATATGTACATTAACACAATAGGAGACACAGAAACTTCACTCACTTTCATTAGAAATATGACAATTTACCACCAGAGAAGATCAGATACCAATGCAATTTTCATTACAATCAGATAATAATAAAAGCCAAGGAATGTAAATTGTTTTAATAGAAGAAAGAGGACTGAACACCTCTGCTTAGGATAACTCATTTCTCTTTAGCTATTTTAATAATTATGAGGTTATCCTAAATGATACTGACTTGATTTCTTGATATACACTTATGCACAACTTCTCTGACAGACTTTTTGGATTTCATGTATTAGACGTGGCTGTACAAACTTTCGCTTTTTAATGTTTGGCTGTTCTGCGTATCTTAGCCATAAGTATAACAATAACAGGTAAAAGAGATCTTTTAAAATACATTAAACAAGCCAAATTTTCATAATGTTTGTTTGTCAATAAAATATGTCTAAAATGTACAGCATGTAACATACACAAGGAAAAATTTAGAAAAATGTAATCGCAGGAGAAAAAACCCCAAAACTTACTTTTCCAAATGTGTTGAACCCAAACCAAGGGAAATATCCAAGAAATTACGCCAAGATGCTTCTGAAAAAAGAAGAGAAAGCAGTGCCCTCTGCTGGTAAAGTTCTGAGCAAGTCACAATTCCAAGGGCTTTTAACATCTTCTCTGTTACTTTTCCTATGCCTGGCACCTGAAAAAGAGTAAGTATCATTATGTTGGAAACTTTCCATTTGTAGATCCAATACCAAGAACAATTTAAATCAAACACAACTGAGCCGATTACCTAGAAAAGTGTATTTCTTCAGTAGAAATCTTGCTTTTAGAACATAAGGAACATACATGATTGCGTAGTAAATGTCATGGTATCTCTTACCTTTCTAATGGGCAAATCTTTTAGGAAGTCTAGCACTGCTTGTCTCTTAGGAGCAATTCTGTATTGCCCGTTAGGTTTATTACAATCACTGCACATTTTTGCTAACATTGTATTTGGCGCTATTCCTTAAAAACAAACAAACAAACACCATATTTTTAAAAAATACAAGACAATGTTTAATTTCAACTGTCCAATATTTAAAAGCACAGGAGTAGCCTACACGGTTAGCAAAGACTAAGCATAAGCATGACCGTAACTGATAACCAGATTTGTTACAATTCTACAAAAAGATTTTATAATAGACATCTGAGAACATAAATACATGTGGTAGATTAAATATAATGCATGCACCAGACAAAGTGTACCTACCATTTTAAGATAGTCATGGTAACACAACACACACTAATCAGTCATGAAGGGTTAACTATCAAGTGTTTAAAAATAACATCAGTTACATGATTGAACGATTTTATGATGGTGATTACAGTAAGACAAAAGGAAATGCTTACAACAGCAGTTATAATGAACTCTTAATGAGAAGGAGATATTTCTTCCTTGTATTTCAGCAAAAAGACTAAATTAATTTTGACGAAATTTACCAAATTAAAGTCTTTTGTGGGCTACCACTGTTACGTAGTCGTTTAGAAATATATATATATTTCACTGGTACTGGTGGCGATGAGGAGAGATTGCTCTTTTCTATCAAAGTAACTGTTTTTACAAATGAACTCTGGAATTGGTTTAGCAAGAAAAACAGAATTATTCTGCGCTATAGCCCTAGTGGTCTAAATTTTTATTTGCTAACTGATATAATGTATTACTGAAGATGGTACAAGTAATTCTATTTATTATTGATTACCAGTATTTTTTCAATTAGCCTTCTAACTGTTTTTCATTTTGGGGCTTAAAACCCCTGATCTGCTTATAAAAGCTATGTCTGTTTTCTAAACTAATTCTTTCTTAGGAAGACAAAACTTCAGTAGAACGAAATTATTATTTGGCTACCACTCATGAGATAACATACATAGGAGGGGGGATCTCATCCTGCTTCTTCCTTTACTTGTTCCTTTACCTAGCTGTACTAGCTGTTCCTTTACCTCTGCTTACATTCAACACTTCCCTGGCCTTCCACATCTGCTTCATAAAGCTCAGCACTCCCTGATGCCTCACTGGCCTGGTTCATAAAGCAGGTCAGATGGCACCCAAACTAAGTGACTGGAGATACACATTTTTTTTTAGTGACCTAATGCAAATTATTATCAAAAGACTTGAGACTTACAGGTAGGTTGCCGGAAGTCAATAGACAAAAAACTTGAATGGAAAATATTAGAAAGCTAATGAACAGTTTATTAACTTCATTAACATCAACACATATTTACTTCTCTGAGAACTAACTTTTTAATGAATTTTGATATTGCTTTAAGCAAGAAACCGCGTGGAGAGGTGTTAGAAATACTTAACAATATGGATCTGCTATTCAAACTAACTAATTTAGCAACCAGTGACAGATTTCACTATGACCAGATTTCACTGCCTTATGAAAACAATTTACATAAAGCACTAAAACAACAACCACCAGTGCTAAGATCAGCTCCTGAGCGCACTGGTCATTCTTCCACACTACTTATATTTCAAGAAAGAAGCAAAAAGATGATATAACTATTTCTAACGTTAAAAAAAAAAAACAACACCAAAGCCAAAACCAGGAGTGGCTTTGATAGACGTAACATCTCTTGAAACACTTGAAAGTCACGGTCTTTGCAGACTTGCAATGAGAGCATATTTCTTTGCAGCACAAGAATGCTGTGGCAATGCTAATTTCTTAATTAATGCCCTCTGAGGTTAGAGTAGAAGACATTGTGGAAATACAAAGCATTATTGTTCATATGTGTCTGAATACCTGCACTAGCAGTCAGTTGAGTTTTCTGCTCAATCCTAAAGCGAATTTCCTTCACAACTTCCTCTGCAGAAGTTCCAAAGACAACCGAATTTTCCACTGATTGATCTCTCTGTTCAGGGTGGTCATCCATCAGAGGTGTACTGTCTTCAAACAGTACTGGTGAAGAAGAGTATCCATCTTCATTAAATTTGGCAGACATATTTGTATCATCTTTATCTATGTTAGATAGAAACACAAACCATTAATCTATCCATATAAAACATATACTTTATCGATTTCCTTCTGCAGTGGCTGAAGAGAGTTCACTGGCAGTTTTGTTTTTTTCTGTTTGGAAAAAAAAAAAATGTATTTATTTAGCCAAAGCAATTGCATTGCTTTTTTGTTTGAAGAAAGGAGAGTCATAACTGCTTTGTTCTTAATATGATTTGAGTTTGGTTGAGATTGGAAGAATTGGCTAGGAGACTGGACATAACTTCCAGAAAAGCAACAAGGTTTAATGGCCTGTTGCTGTAGCAGCAGATAAACATCAAAATTTTGGCATTATTTTTGTTTCATATCAGAGTGAAGGCAGGATGCTCCTTTTTTTTGTGGAAATAAAAATCTTTTGCAGAAGTTTTTTCAATATTCTCCAAAGAAAATGAGGGTTCTGGAATATCTGGTTCTAGAACCATCAGCCTGGTGAGCTTCTTGTTTACGACTGCAGTCATGGTAGAACAAGTAATGTCAGTAGCCCTTTGTCTGACTCTACAAACTTTACTATTACGATTTCACATTCTGAGTGCTTGTTTGTGTTTTAGAAGAACGAAGATGTCAGAGAAGTATGAAGAGGCACATGACTACACATCAGTGTTATTTATTTTGTAAAGACTATGCCAGTTTGTTTCCTTCTATTCCATTAATGCTTTTCAGTAGTAGCGTATCCTTGATTATCCTCTTAATGGCTATTTAGATAATTTTTGAATACGGAGAATATAAATGTTTCAGCTTGTGCATCAATCAACTGTTTGTATGACTCCTCCTTTTTTATTATTCCCAATTGCGTATACAATTGTGGATGTGGTTCCAACTCCATCTTCTAGAGCCAAGTGAAATCCAGTCCTATCTTAAGCATTACTGTAACTCCAGCAGTGCTCATTACTTTATACATTTTTAGTCTTGTAAAATAATCACGTAACTAGAGCTTACGCACACTGTCTTTGCAGACAATTTCTTGTGTTTCTGATGTACAGGACTCGCTATAGTATTTCAGGAAACACCTTTGCAAAATACAAATAATCTTTACAGCTGTAAGTTTATTTATTCTACACTTCCTTAAGTTATAAGATTATTACTACTTATTTGCAAAATTATCATGTTGAATTGTAAAAGAAAAATACACACCTAAAACACGCAATTGGGTTTAGTAAACCTAGAACCACTTTTCACACATTTTACTCAAGTTAAAACAAAATAAATCCTCCAAGTCCAAATCATCAGCAGCACACCTTTTATGCAAGGGTGAGTAGTAAAGGAAGTAAACTAACAAATCAGAGGTAGAGAGTATGTGGGAGGATGAATTATGCAAGGACTTAAGTATCTACACTTTCAATGGGTGCAGCTTATCTGAAGCTTACTTTATATGCATGTGTGACTGGTATGGCCCGCTCCCCAACCCTGGTTATATGGTTAGCATAACTAATGCCATTTTAAAAGGCAAGCAGCCAGCCTCTGTTACCGGGAGGGTCATGTATTCCTTCCCTTTCCCCTCATTATCAGGCCCTGAAGGTCCTGTGCACCAAGCAGATGAACCAAACAGATTTCTTCCTCCCTTCCCTAACGGCCTCAAGGTTCCTGGGCACCAGGCCGACTATGCCCTTCCTTGCCAGCCTTGAAGGTCCCAGGCACCCAGCCAAGCCGCTGTTGGTGATGACCCCGCCACAGAACAGGGAAGGGTAACGGCACCCAGAGCACTCTCTGTAAAACCACGCAGTTCAAGTCCTAAGGGGGAACCTGGACCAGAACTGCTGCTGGACAGCGAGGCCGTGACCCCCCCACGACCAGGGACGCCTCCACCATCGTCTGCTTCCTCCAAGGTCTGAGGGAGTGACTCGTATTCTTTTATATGATTTCGAGTCTAGATTATGATTGTTATATTGATACAGCAAACCATGTATTAAGATCCAAACCGATCTGCAGAGGGTCCAGGTGATTAGAAACCATAAGTTAAGTTGTGTTACAAATTCTGTATTACTTAGATGATTAGAAATCGTAAGTTAAGTTGTATTACAAATTCTGTATTACACTACTTATAGATTGTACTACATTGATAATGCTTGTAGAAATCCTGTGCTACTCTAATCATAAATTCTGTGCTATACTAATCATAATTTCCTGTTAAGAAAATAAAGTTTAAATTGTAACTACGATTTAGTGCCATCATCATTCTGCCAAGGATCCCTAAAAGAAACCATCTGTCCCCTCAGTGTCAGGTGACTGCATGAAAAGAGAGTAATTCGCTTACCTCTTCCTATAGTGCTTTCTGTGTTAAAAAAGAATCTTCTCTTATCTTCAGGCCAGTTCAGCCTTTCCTCCAAGTGATCTGTTATGTTCAGGTAGGCTTCATCTAGGCCCATAGGCATAAAACTGGGATCATATTCGGCAAGTATTTCTCTAACCTTGATAAACACATAGTGAAAGCTTAAAGCCTTGTTGCTGTAAGAGCAGATCTTGACACACAATTACGAGGTGAACAAATGTACTCTGAAACTTCAAGATGACCAATCAATATTAAAGATATTTATAGAACAAATTATTTATTGATATCAGAAAATTATAGTACTGCTTCTCACAAGTAGCAAGGTACCAATAGCAAGTGAGAACTAAACAGGTTTTGAGCAGTGTATTTTACTGCAGGGGTCATTAAGATCACTGTATAAGGACTCTACAGGCACTAGGTTCACAGACACTGCAGAAACCACCTGAATAAAACTCTGGGGACCTCAGAACTTAGCAGAGCACATGAGCTGATGCACCTTTCTGTGCACTGTGTGTCAGACATCACACATGCAAAGGTTAAAAAACCCAAACACCTAAGTTTTAAATTACATTCAAACTAAAGTTATAGCCAATATTTTAGAGCACTGGCTAGTGCCACAGGCAAAACTTGTTAGAAAAATTGTTAGTCATAAGTGCATCTTCCCAAAAGGCAACATAATAAATTAAATGGTCAAACCAAAATCTCTACCTTTTCTTCTCTTTTTTTCCCCTCTCTTTTTAAAAGAGGAAAATTTGACTGTGTCATGTTTTCTCTACCAGTTCTGGTCAAATTCTTAGGTATCACAACATCTGTTCACATGCACATCATCTTTCTAAAACTGATTAAAGATAGGATTCACTGCTCAACTTTTAATGACAAAATGAAATAAATTTAATATTTTCAATCCAAATCCCAAGAGAAAAAGATAACTAAAAAAACCAAATCAAACTGAACCTTTAACACTCTACCCCATCAAACAACAAATGAAGAACATATCATGAAATCCAAGATCCTTAACAACTTCAAAACCATTCTGAAATACTCATATTTATACATGCTTTTTTACAGCAGAAGTGAGAAAAATCAAATAAGATCAAAATTAGTAATTAGCTTACTTTATTTATGTGAAAAGATTGAGGCTTCATAAAAACAAATAAATAAATCTTGGCAGAATTTTACTGAAGTCAGGAGACTTGTGCACTAGTTTGATTTAAGACCTACAAAAGATGATCTTCTTTTCTTTCTTTCTTTTTTTTTTTTTAAACAGAATTTTTAAAACAGAATATTTCTTCTAGCACTAAGTAAAATTACTTCCGTTAAAGCAAAATGTGATTTCTTTTCTCCCTAATTTTTTGCTCTTTATTTCAAGTTCCTTCTTTTAAAACAAATGAATCTGCATTTAGAACTCACTAATGCTCTTTGCTTCTCTCTCTAGTAATTAGCATTTGAAATGATGATTATGCATTGTATGAAATTATTATCTCCATGTTTCCAATGTACTTGCAGCTTCCTTGTAATTAGATTATGCTCCATGGTTTTGAAGGTTGAAGAATAATAAGGCTCAAGTGGCATCACTAGGTCACTACACTACAGTTTTGAAAATCTCTATCAGCATCACTACTGACTTCATTAAAATGGCAAGATGGGTGAATGCAATGCTTTTTCATCTCCTTGCCCAAAAGCATCAAGGTTTTGTTTAACTTTTTAACTTAAAGCCACATCACTGAAGAGTTTAATATTTAAACTACCACTTTTCATATTATCTAGAACTGATGTATTGATAGAGTCTAAAACCAAGTACGCTGACTTCTGTTTAGAGATCACTTTCAGACTTACCTCTTTACTCACTTTGCCGTATTTTTCGAAGTTTAATGGTACTATAGTTAGATGTGGACACAGCTTTTTAGCAATAAATCCAGGCATGGCTGCACGTACACCAAATCTCCTAGCGTGGTAATTTGAGGTGGACTTAGGAGAGATTAAATAAGTTTAGTGTTCAGTAATCAAGTTTTACTTGAACTTTAGTATTAAATAATCAAGTTCTAATCACATATCTCCACGCAGAAAAGACTGACAAGGCTGAGAGTTTATATGCATTCCTCCACCCTGCCTTTCAATCTGTTTACATCCTTCAAACTTTCATCAGTACACCTTTTACTGAAAAATAAAATCCAGTTTACATAGTCTAGTCTAAGAACAGATATTTCCTCTATGATTTTTGTTATTTTTTCCCATACTTATAAAAATTCTCTACATAACAGTGGCATTATATTATGTTATTATTGTATGGTTTATTAGGCTTTAGATTCACGTAATTCATTTCTGTATTAGCTTGACATTTGGCCTTACCAACATACTCATTGATCCCACTGCTATAGGCTTTTCCTTCAGCTCTGGATTGTCTCTCATTTCCACGGCTGCATAGAAGGCATCCATGTCAATGTGTACAATCGTACTGTTAAGGTTACGGCTCTGTTCCAGTTCTATCACAAGTTTGTCCATCTGAACAGAATAAATCAATAACTGAAAAACTATTAACCTGGCAGAAGTGCAACAGTACAGATGATCCTAAAAACTCAAATGCATCTGGCATATTGTTAAAAAAAAAACCAACCCACAACAAACCCAAACCACACCAAACCAGCACCACCAAAAAAACCCACAACCAAGTTTCTGATGAAACTTGCTCTCAGAGAGAACACTGCTGCAGCAATGGTTCAAAAATACCCAAAACCCAACGGAAAAATCCCAATCCAACAATCAATCAAAACCCACCTATGTGGGAAAAAAAAAGATACATCACCTGATTCAGACAGAAACCTTGTAGGACCACTGAATATGCAGCTTTAGCTACTGTGATACAGGTTATTTAAAAAAACTGAAAACATGCTATTAGAGAATTTCCAACACTCCTGAATTAAGATATCACACTTCAGAAAATTGGCCTAGACAGGTGAAGAGAAGATCAACAGCTCACAGGGCAGATCCATCTATCTTGTCTTGTCAGAAATAAGGTCTCAAACAAACAAGTTCATTTACTGCCAAGTAAGCTACTAATAATCCCTTCATAAAATTCCTCAACATCTGTTACAGGAATTCATGTCATATAAGGGTGGACTGCTAGCAAAACTGCAAGGTGACTTTTAAAGAAAAGCTCATACATAGAGTGTCTCACTCTAAGAGTCAAAGATGTATTGTCTACTAGTAGACTGTGAGCAGTACTCCCGCTTCATCAGTTCCATGGTGGTGTGAGGCAGAGGCCAAGCACACAGACCTCTCCATTAAATACTTTAATTGTGATTAATTTGCTTGCATTCTTTTACTGAAAGACTTGCAGATCACATGCTTGTTTCTGAAATATCTTTCAACTATGAATGAGGTATGAATTGTGAGTGTCACCAGAAAGCATAAGCACATTACTTGACAGGTGATTTTTAAGGTCTACTGATTTAAGACAACTATGTTGGCAGTACCACACATCATTCTAGAAGTGAAAAAGAAAATATTAAAAAAAAAAAAGAAGGAAAAAAAGGAAGTGCTGTCAAACTATGACTATCTAACCACACTAATGACTATGCTAACCTGTATTTACACAACAAAAGGTTGCTACTGCTAGGAAAAAACAACAAATAGGCTTAATAGAGCTCAAGAAATGCAAGTAGTGAAAAGGAACCAAAGTTCACTTTGCTTGCAAGCACAAGGACATTCACACACATTCATGACATCAAGATACCATTACAGAAATGTCTCTGGCTTGATTGCAATGGGTTTACAGTGCTGGAGAGGAATGTTTACGTGCAATTTGCACAGTCACTTGAAGACAGTTTCTCTCTTTTTCCCCTCGACAGAGCTACTTAATAAAAACATAAAAACCTTATCCAAAAACACATCTTTGGAGCTGAAGACACTTGAACCAAGGCAAGTGGCTATGAATGTTCCAACTGAATTGCTGAGTAATGATTTACAAAGTCTTTTCTCCATTTTGTTCCAAGTTGATTTGAGGGATGAAAGGCTAGAATGGGGTCTCAAACTAGGCTATTCCATACAGAATAGCACAGTATGCTCCCTGAGGCCAAGAAAACTGGTTTAGACAAATTAAAAGCACAAGGGAAAGCCATTCAAACAACCACCAAAAAAAAAAGTGGAGAATTTACATTATTTTCATTACTAATTCAGCAAGGGTCCAAGTCACACTATAATAATGAAAAGCATCCTTATTTTAAACTATACTTTACAAAGAATTTTCAGGTTACTCTCAAATTCAAAGTGCTTAATTAGTTAATAGCGTCAATTGTTCCTCTAGTTACTTAATTTCCGTATTTCAATGTATCGCATTTATAACAAATTTCTTTTTGCTTTTTCTCCCCAAATGTATTTCTGACATGATACTTACTGATTAGCTAACATATGCATCTAAAGAATGAAGTAAAATTACATTGAACTAATCAGAAATACAAAAAGATAACTCTTCAGCAAAAGCAACTGATATAAATAATATGCCAGAACAAAAAACACCCAGATGTACTCAGAGAATTCTGGGGACCTACAAATGTTTCCTTAGTAAGATAAGGAAAGTTATGGTATAGTTCCTTAGAGGCAAGCCAGGCTGACAAGTTTTTAAAAGCTGCTTTCAATTTTCCTTGGAAGATAAAAAGAGATACTAAGGTTTTTTATTTCTAAGCTAGATGAAAAAAAACCTAAAAAGTACAAATTGTAATTAGAAGTTTAATTTTGCTTATAGTGACTTTTAGACAATTTAAAGAGTAACCTCTCATTCTTCCTTATCCCGTGATACAAAATACAAGTTTTCTATCTTAAATTGCTTTGTCAAAGTAAGACAGAAAAGATTATTCAAAATCTCTTTTACATTTGTAAAAGCATCTGACAACGTAAAGAGGTAACAAACAGTGATACCATATTATGACAATACTAACTATTTACAGAATAAACATCTGGGATAAAACCCATATGGATTAAAAAAAGCAAACATCAGTACAGCGGTTTGCAAATCTGGTAGCAGCTGGATACTTTTTAAACTATTATTAACTACTGCTGAATTTCAAGCAATTCCACTCTAAGTTGTTAGGATCATTTAACACTCTTGCAGAAAAGTTTTCAAAAATTAAGAATTACATGATATTGTACAATGTATAGTTTCCCTTAAAAGACAACAATTACATTCATTAGGAAAACTTCAAACTACCTTTCACATTTCATATTGTTTAAAAACAAACAAACAAACAAAAAAACAAAGAAATATTTGTACACAGAAATGGCAGTTTTAAGAAGAGTTACGAGTACTTTCTAATGTCCAATATTTGCAAAATCAATGGTGGTAAATGCCCTTCTGCAAAGAAGGCCTTCTAAGGAAAACTGTAAAAATATGAGAAATACCCTCACAAATTCCTTGGCATACACACACGCTAGTGGTGAGGAAGACAGCAATACGTTGCAGATTCTACATTTTATTTATATTACTGTTTCCACCATGTAACCAGGATTTTGTCCAACAAATCCAGTAACTGGGGATTTGTTTGTTTGTTTGTTTTTACACTATAGCACTTACATCAACTGCCAGCTTAGGAAGCCGTATCTGAGCCTCTAACCATTCTACAAACAAGACTTGATCTGCAGATGAGAACTTGCAGCTTTCATAGAAGTAGATATATGGATACCTTTGTAATTCTGGAGTACCTCCCACCTACAAATTTTAGGAGAACAAATTCTCTCATGGTATGTCAGAAGGTAGTACTAAAAAGAAGAGTTATAGAACTCGATAGACAACAACAATAAAGAAGAAAAGAAGATAATGAGAGCTAACTATATCCATATCTGAAGACCTAGAGAAGCTGATCAAACAACACACAGCACATATTAAGAAAACCAAATAGGACAAATAAGATTTGCAAAGTTAAAGGTGGAGATAATGGCCTGGGGAAGAGCAGCTGGTGCGTAAGTGACAGGAAAAGAGGGGGGCATTTAGGATATCAGACAGGCAGATGAAGACTGGCGAGGCCAGGAGACTGGGGGGCATAAACAAGGACTGCTTTGGAAAGAGAACTGATGGTAATCTGGGGATGTGGGACAAGAAAATGAAAATTCAGGATAGGAAAAATTAAAAGAAAGGAGAGGAGAGAGCAAAAGGTTGCTCAGAAGTTGTGAAGAAAAAATGAGGGCAACAACAATAATGAATGAGACCCTATCTACATACAGAGGATGGAACCAAAATCCAAGATTTCAAGATGTTTTTAGAGCAGCAAAGATCTAAAATTAGCCAGCAAAAAAGTGTGCATGTTATCCCCCTCTAATGACAGTTCTCACGCAGTATGGCAGCTGACTTAACAGTTACTCCATTGGAAATAAAGACAACTGCTATTTGAGCAAGTGGCATCAAGATTTCAAACATGGGGTTTGAAAGTCAGGTCCCAGTAAGACCTCTTTTTTTAAGCTTCTTTTTTCTTCTATAGAAAGCAATTTTCATACAAAACATTAAAAAAAAAAAACATTATGTTGCAAGATCAAAGAATCAAGTTCAGAAAAAGACAGCATGAGGGTAGTCAAAGCAATTAAAATTTATAGGCTTTCACTATATGCACTATATATTCTTTAATTGTATAACCATACACTAATTTTATAGGATCTGTGTCATTCATTTTATAAGAGAGATTGTTCTCTATAAAATGAAAAGTTCTGTGGTGAAGGAAGGATGGAAATGGAAGTATTTTTTCATAATTAAATGACTTAAAAGCTACTCCCAGAAAACTAAAAATAAAACCAGACAAGCAGAGACATAACTGATCCATGTTAAAGATTAACTAAAAACAATTGAGGCGTATAGGCTTATAACAAACTTTTCAGAGGTACTCCGAGAGTAATTGCAAGCTTTTCTGGGCACAAATTTGAGATACTGACATCTAATCTACAGAAGTGATTTGCAAGTCTGAAATGAACAAAAAAAAAAGCTCGGAACCTACAATCCTCCCAATGGCATTCAAAATTAATGGATGTGTTTAGTCTTCACGTGCTTCAGCTCCTCATCTACAAAACAAAAATATCACTCTACTTTGCTAGAGTATTGCAAGAATAATCTAAAGAACTTACACCATGTCATGTACAACAGAAAAGCCTATGAGGGAGTCAGTAATTCTTCATTCAAAGCTCGATTAGACTAGTGTACAACAAATAAAGCTTGGGGCCACCCATTGAACAATGAGGTCAACAGTAAATATTGAGTAACTGCTCACTCAGTGAACACTGTCTGCACTGTGCACTGAATGAAGCAGGAATCCTGTTAGGGAAAAATAGCAAGCAATCATGTAATTAAAGACTGAATCACAGTACAAATGAAAAAGGAAAGGAATTAAGCTTCTACAAACAACTTTAATTCTGTTGCGCCTAAGAATGTTTAGCATGCAACCTTGGTGCTGTTTTCTTTTAACAACCTTTCATACACGGTAATACTTTGGATACTATTATCTATCACTGGCATTTAAGAAGAGAAATACCCTCTTTGTCTTTCTAGTTCAGGACACTTGTATTTCTTATGACTGCTTGCCATGATGATTTTTTCATTAATTAGCATAAATAAGGAATGAATTATATCCAGAACAGTTGACAACTGTGATGTCCCTCATCCCATTGCAGGCCATTGAACACAAATATACTTACATTATAAAAACAGAAAGTAAACTCAAGACTGATATGATACTTATTATTATGATACCTATTAACTTATTAATACTTATGTAAAAGTATTTAACAAAACTTCTACATAAACCATAATGACATCCCTTTAAAATTGATCAGACTTGGAAGAACAGGAATTACTTTGCTTCATTTTACTCATTCAGAGAACATTTCAGAGTGATCTTACAATCTATTCTTCTAGTAAGTTTATTAAGATTACATCATCAAAACACTGTGCACTTTTACCTGCACGACTAACATCAAAATGGTAGTTAGCATTGTGCTTATCACTAGAATTTAATGTAATAAACTAGAACACACCAAAATCATTTGCCATTTACTCCAAAAAGTCTTTACAAGATTAGTACCTGCAGCTGTGCTTTCAAGAGCTGTTGTGTTGTAATTTTCTCTTTTAGCTGCATCATTTTTTCAATTCGTTGGTTAACTTGTTGATCTTTTTTAAGTTCATTTTCATAAAACCTAGAACCCTGGAAGAAAATTGCAAAAACACTAAGGTTTTTATTTGTCTTTTCCTATAAACATCGCATTTGATCTTTAAACACAGAAAACATAAAACACAATAATGGTTTCTAATGCATACTTTGGATTTTCACGTAAGTGATACACAAGAGAGACCAGTGGTGCTTTACATCTCTCTCCTTAAATGACAAATGACAAATATATTTCTCCTTCTCAGATCCCCTATACTCAGATGTGTATAAGGGACTATTTAAAGAACTTACTATGTTTACTCATTCTAACACTTGACAACAAAAATTCCAAAATAGTAGATAAAAGTCAAACTATTCTTTGCAATACCTCCACGATAAGGAGTATAAAACTCTAAAAAAAATTGATTTAAGCATTTAATCAACATGGAAATAAATAATGACATTGTAAAAGCCAAACCCACTTATAATGTTGAGTATTTCATTGACCATTTAATCTTGAAGGACTTTGCAGAATTAGAAATTATTTGGAAGAGGATGATAAAAAGCAAATGGGTATAATAACGCCCTCTTGCTCTCAAGTATGTAATTGCTCCTTCAAGAAAAGAAATGAATAAAAGGAGACGTAATGAAACAGTAAAAAGACAACAATCATGTACCGAACATATAATGTGATTTCCCTTCCTGACTCAACAAAGAAAAGAAGGCATACAATGAAATACAAAAGAGGAAAATTCAAAACCAGGAAATAAAATATTTTTCTTGCAACATCTGCTTAGCTTATGAGAGAAATAACATTTGCAGGAAGAGGTAATATCTTTTATTGAACCAACTGATAAAATCTGCAAAAGTGGACAAATTTTTAGCTCAAAGCCTCTGACTACCAAACTGTCACTGATGCTAAGAATTCAGCCATAGTCAAATAAGAATCAGGCACTTATATAAAAAGCAAAAATATCCACTTTTATAATAATGATAAAAAGGGTGAATGGCAAGACTGTAATGTGTCATGTCTCATTGCTTAGAAAAAATCTCTAATTAGAATCAATTAGGGTGTATCTTCTTTCAATATCAGACATGCATTTCCTCTTTTCTCCCCTCCGCAATCAAACATGATTTGTTGAGACTCACTGAAAGAAATAAGTACAAAATGTTGGTGTGGGAAACAACCCAATACTTAACACTGTTACTAAGTGGTTGGGTTTTTTACGTGTCTTGTGGTATTTCACACTTTAAATGCTATAAAAATCTTGTTGTAATACAATTGCACCTCGAATACTGTGTTCAGTTTTGGGCCCCTCACTACAAGAAGGACACTGAGGTGCTGGAGCGTGTCCAGAGAAGGGCAACGAAGCTGGTGAAGGGTCTGGAGCACAAGTCTTATGAGGAGCGGCTGAGGGAACTGGGACTGTTTAGCCTGGAGAAGAGGAGGCTGAGGGGAGACATCATAACGCGCTACAACTACCTGAAAGGAGGTTGTACTGAGGTGGGGGTTGGTCTCTTCTGCCAAGTAGCTAGCAGTAGGACGAGAGAAAATGGCCTCAAGTTGCACCAAGGGAGGTTTAGACTGGACATTAGGAAAAATTTCTTTACTGACAGAGTGGTCAGGCCTTGGAACAGGCTGCCCAGGGAAGTGGTGGAGTCGCCATCCCTGGAAGTATTTAAAAGACGTGTAGATGAGGCGCTTAGGGACATGGTTTAGTGGGCATGGTAGTGTTGGGTTGACGGTTGGACTCGATGATCTTAGAGGTCTTTTCCAACCTTAATGGTTCTATGATTCTATTCTATGAATTGTGGGTAGTGTTGTAGGTGTAATTTTGAAGATGAAATAAAAGCTTAAGAAAAAGAACCTACGCTTCTTTTCAGATTTCTCAAGCTATATCTGGTATTTATATTCTTTTGCTTTTTTTGACAGAAATAGATGCCTTTTTATCAGTTTGAAAATACACTGCCTATATCAGTTTTGAAAGCCTATTTCACAGTTCATTCTATTTCATACCAGGAAACGAAACAGTAACTGTTCTGACAAAATAATTTATCCAAATATCATTATTAGGGATATGTCTGACAAAGCACTAAGTTTTCAAGAAAGAGTGAACAGAATAAGTAGAAGAAACATCTAACCAATAAGGGGCTCGATAACATATAAAGTATCATCAAAGTGAAAATGCAAGCAAAAAAAGTTTGCCAAATAAGAGCTGTTTGTAGTATGTTTTCTTCCCCCCACCCCTGCAATTTACCACAGAGCAATAGTAGTCAACACAGAACTCATGAGCAGAATATCAAGCACATAATTTAGGGACATAGCGACACCAAATGAAATACACATTTGTGCAAGGAAAAGTAAGAAAACCCAGAGTTGCTCAAATAAAGTGTTATCCCCATATAGTTCTATGTGAAGACTTTCCGATAACAAGTAAGAGGACTAGTATTTCAATGCTTTGTAGATTTGTGGGGTCCTCTGTGGATCTTTGGTACAAAGTTGCACGCTGCTGGCCACCTCTCTTGAATACTGAGAAGGCAGTCAGGAAGACAGGCAGTAAGCACAAAGAAATTCTACTGAAAGTACTAGAAAAACCTGATTACATCAAATTCATCAGTTACAGGAAGGTGACCAATAGAAGTAGACCTGCTTGGCTGATTAATGATGGGGCAGACAAAAGGAATGCAAAAGGGGAGAACAAGAGGCCTAAGGAAGCTGAAACCTTTACAATTACCACTGGACAATGCTGTGATATGTACTGCTTCGGGCAAAAAGGGAGCACCTAAGGACGTACTCAGCTGTGTTGCTCCATGTCCCTGTGGATGAATCCAACAGTACCCTATGGTACCCTAAGCTACAGTCCCTCACCTTCCTCCCCACACAAGCATACCTTCTTAGAAGCTGCCCTCCATTTACACATGTGAGGGATAAAATTTGGGGAAGGGAGGAAGAAGGCCTTATGATACTGGACAACAGATAAAGCATCAGGAAGAGAGCAATCAACCAACCTTGGTAGCTTCCATGATGATTTTATTGATTTTCTCTTTGTCCAAACCTTGCATTCCAGCTTTGTTATCATTGAGGCCCATTCTAAGTAAAACTCCATCATTGCAAGAGCTGTTATCAACTTTTTTCATGTCGTCCATAGCACTTCTTGAAAACAAGTACCTCTTTTAAGACTTAATACCTGAAAAAAAGAATTTAAATCATATTTTTTTCTAAGTTCCAACTGAAAAATAAAAAAAAAAATTGTGGAATTCATTTGCTGTATTTATTGAATAAGCACTTTATACTTATTCAGAAAACAACATACTTATCACAAATATGAAGACTTGTATTCCTGTAAAGTGGCTGACCTGCCACATTCACCACAAAAAGCCACCTGTAACTCTATCTGTGTTTGGAGACAGTAATATTTTACTTTTTTGTTGGCTTAAAAACACACTCTCTTAAGCTCCCTTAGAGAAATAATTGAGCACCACCAACTTCAGGTAAAGGCTAGTACCTTACACATGCATGTGAGATTTATGCCTATATGTTATCCTGTCAGATGAAACAATACTGCCTTAAACACAAAACACTGCTCACTAGATTATTACATTAAAAGAAAAGAACTTGAACGATTTTTAAATTGCAGAAGACCATTGTTCATTTAGTAGACAAGCCATAGAATCTTTCCCAGTAATTTCTAGCTCAAATTCAAAACTTTTGTCTTAAAGCTCATCTTTTAGAAGCAGATGGCTTCAATTAAAAGTTTTGAATAAAACACTATTGTTTAATTCAGAGTAAAATTCATGCATTCTTTTTTTTCCCATTAATTTGTAGAGCCACGGTATCCAACTAATAGAACTTACCAAGTCTTTACTACTCAATTACTGCCGTCAGTAATTTCTTATACATGCAGGTACTTCTGATATATGAACTTCTGACATGTTCCCTTGTTGCTTATGAAAGTAAATGGCTGAATCCTTCAGCAGGCTCTAATCAAATAGTAAAGTGTCTAGTTATTAAATTGATCTTAAAGAACTAAAGAAAGCAAATTTTATCGTCTGTAGCATGAACCTCTGGTCTTATTTTTCCCAAATTAAAACAAGCAGAATCCAAGTGTAACACTGGCATAAATTACTTAACATGTATTTATTACTGGAAAAGCATACAGAAAGAATTTCCTCCTACCCTATGAGTTGCTGACTCATAAACCACTTCAGCTTTATTCTCACGCAGGAAGCACATTCACTCCCAAACTTCCCCATCAAGCTGCTCCCTGTGAGAGGAGCCCTTCCTGTTTGGAGGAGCCACACCCTTCGAGGCACGTACAGCAGCTCCATTGAACAACCACAAATTACACAAATCTAAAAGTGCTACATTTTCGCTTTCAATACCGCTTTCCCACTCCAGGACTTAAGTGGGCCTCATTAGCAACCAAACTGAAGAAAGTCATTATGTATTTTTGCATTTAGAGATGAACTTTTGCTATTAAAGAACCACATGGGTTCTAAAATTAATGGTGGCAATGTTCGTGTTTTCCTAAAGATCTTCTACAGGCCAGTCAGTCTCACCTCTGTGCCTGGGAAGATCATGGAACAGATCCTCCTAGAAGCTATGCTAAGGCACATGGAGGACAGGGAGGTGAATCGAGACAGCCAGCATGGCTTCACCAAGGGCAAGTCCTGCCTGACCAACCTAGTGGCCTTCTATGATGGAGTGACTACATCAGTAGACATGGGAAAGACTACAGATGTCATCTATCTGGACCTTGTAAGGCCTTTGACACAATGCCCCACAACATTTTTCTCTCTAAACTGGAGAGATATGGATTTGATGGTGAATGAGGAATTGGTTGGATGGATGCATCCAGAGGGTAGTGGTCAATGGCTCAATGTCCGGATGGAGATCAGTGACAAGTGGTATCCTGCAGGGGTCCGTATTGGGACCAGTACTGTTTAGTATCTTCATCAATGACATACACAGCGGGATCGAGAGCACCCTCAGCAAGTCTGCAGATGACACCAAGCTGAGTGGTGTGGTTGACACGCCTGAGGGACGGGATGCCATCCAGAGGCACCTGGACAAGCTCAAGAAGTGGGCCTGTGTGAACCTCATGAGGTTCAACAAGGCCAAGTGCAGGGTACTGCACCTGGGTCAGGACAACCCCCAGTATCAATACAGGCTGGGGGATGAAGGGATTGAGAGCAGCTCTGCCAAGAAGGACTTGGGAGTACTGGTGGATGAAAAGCTGGACGTGAGCCAGCAACGTGAGCTTGCAGCGTAGAAAGCCAACCATATCCTGGGCTGCATTAAAAGAAGCGTGGCCAGCAGGTCAAGGGAGGTGATTCTGCCCCTCCACTCTGCTCTGGTGAGACCCCACCTGGAGTACTGCGTCCAGCTCTGGAACCCTCAGCACAGGAAAGACATGGACCTGTTGGAGCAGGTCCAGAGGAGGGCCACAAAAATGATCAGGGGGATGGAATGTCACTCCTATGAAGAAAGGCTGGTTATTCAGTCTGGAGTAGAGAAGGCTTCGAGAAGACCTTATTGCAGCCTGTCAGTACTTAAAGGGGGCTTACAAGAAAGATAGTGGCAAACTTTTTAGCAGGGCGTGTTGCAACAGGGCAAGGGGGAGTGGTTTTAAACTAAAAGAGGGTAGATTCAGACTAGATATAAGAAAGAAAGTTTTTACATTGAAGGTGGTGAAACACTGGAACAGGTTGCCCAGAGAAGTTGTGGATGCCCCATCCCTGGAAACATTCAAGGTCAGGTTGGACGGGGCTCTGAAGAACCTGATCTAGTTGAAGATGTCCCAGGGGGGTTGGACTAAATGACCTTTAAAGGTCCCTTCCAATCCAAACTATTCCATGATTCTATGAAACATACTAGCCAAGATATTAAAGAAAGCCATCCTAAAAAAAAAAACATTCTGACAAAAACATCCCAATTTTAACCACATTCTATTAATTCAGATTATTATTTATGATGTCTTCCAAAGATGCAAAATCAGGTAAGTGATGCTGTATTTATCTCCAGCTTGTTGTATTTCAAAGAACAGAAGGTGATATAGAGACCAGAACTCTTCTCTTGACCCTTTATTATCACTTGAGCTACTATAATGGCAACTAGGAATGGGAGTGGCTTCATAGCTCTTATGTGTATCTATCAAATAAAAGACCACTATGATGAACATTTTCATAAATTTTTCACTTAGAGTAGGACAATCTCTTTCCGTTAACGTACACATTTACCAGAACAGGTTTGCTAGACTTCAATCATAGGTAAAAGCTCTGCATCCTGCACAACATTCCAAGTTTCATCTCAAGCTGCTAAGTACCCCCTTATCAATTAGTTCCACAATAATTCCATTGTAACTGGCAATCTCTGGTAAGTAACGGGCACAATTCCCAATAAATACTTTCTTCAAGGTAAATGCCCCTCCACTATTCCGCCTGGTTCTTTTATCACTCTTTAAAAAAAAAAGATTGCTTCCATTTCCTATTCCAGTCTTTGTAACATTTGTAGCTTATTCCTGAAAGTGTCTTTATCCCCAGCACATACAAATCTTTCCCCTCTCCTCAGCCAGATCACTCTTAAAGGCTCAGTTTTATAGCAGGGGCTTTAAACACTAATTCATGTCAATCAAAAGCCTTCTCTATTACACTGCTATATATCCGGTGAGAGATTGCTTCCATTTCCTATTCCAGTCTTTGTAACATTTGTAGCTTATTCCTGAAAGTGTCTTTATCCCCAGCACATACAAATCTTTCCCCTCTCCTCAGCCAGATCACTCTTAAAGGCTCAGTTTTATAGCAGGGGCTTTAAACACTAATTCATGTCAATCAAAAGCCTTCTCTATTACACTGCTATATATCCGGTGAGAAAAAAATTACCATGATGATACCAGCAACAGAAAAAATAATTGTCTTTAAAAAGCCTCATAAATGGTAGTCTCCTGATGCGTTTTATCTTTTCAGCTTCTTGTGTGGAACAAAATACATTGCTAGTATCGGATGATAAAGTGTATAAATATCAAATAATACCTTAACTGGAATTAAGAAGAAAACATTCATTTGAGGACATGACATTAGTTCTCCACCATAGCTTAAAGGTGTACAGAAGGGAAAACACGAATAACAACTGATACAATTTTCAGCCCCTTAACATGAACAGAACCTGAAGATTATCTTGGTTTCAGATTAACAGGTCTGGAAAAAAATATGTAAAATATTTAGCATATGAATGAATCACAAAAGCTACAATAAGACAACAGATACAGCACTGTCAGATAAAACCAGTGGATCATCTGCCATAGACAAAATGAAAATGGAAATATTTAAGGGAAATGCAGGAGAAGAACAGTTTGAAACACTATGCAAAATGTGAACAAAATGTCAGTGTAGAAACCGCTAAGGACAAGTAGTAACTGTTTAAATGGAAAATTGACCTAGACAAAACATTTAGCTTGTGGTGACACAATCTTACAAAATTTTTGCTAGAGCAACTTGGAAAAAGCGGGTAAAGGTTTAGAGTCTAATGAACACTAACTCAGAACACTCTAGGCGAGGAGTGACATATTTTTGGCATGCTGTCACCTCAAGAAGCTGCTGCAAGACTGAGCTGTTTCCTCTAACAGAAGGAATCTCTCAACATCATAGTGAGTAAAGTAGGGTGTGAAATCAGAGAGGTCTGTGAAGGCAGTCTACAGTTAAATACTATCCTATTATTCCTGTGATTTGGAAATGGAGGAGAGGGAGCAGGAGAATCTTCTATAAGCGGAGGAGGTAACTTTCCAATTGCTACTGGAAGGACTTTTAAAAATAAAGAGGAAGATTTCGGCAGTGGATGCCAACAGTTAATGCAGAACAAAGAAGTGGAGAGGAACTACAGAATAGCATCACTGTGTAGGAAACTGTGTTCTTTGTTAGCAACCTGGGATGCTTACAAGAGGAAAAAGACCACTAATAAAACCCCAATCAAGCTCTTCTAGGAGCAGGCACAGAAACTCAACTGAACCAGTCAGACAGGGTTATATAGTATATGAAAGTATCAAGAGATTGAAACAGCAGTAAAATCAGAGCGACGATTTAATTTCAAGTGCCTCTACCTTTATTCAAATTTAGCATATTTTGGGACAGTTGACTGAACTAGCCTGAAG